CAGGCTGGGATTTCCAGCCCACTCTCCTTTCTGGTGGCGCAGCCATGCGTGCTGGGAAGGTGCCGGCACCCTTTGTACCCCTTTGTACCCCTTTGTACCCCTTTGTACCCCTTTGTACCCCTTTGTACCCCTTAGGGCTCCCCAGTGACCGCCACCCGTGGGGTGGGGACAGGCAGGGGACACCCCTGTGTGCTGCCAGCCTCATGCCACCCTCACCGTGGGAAAGGAGAGTGACCGAGCAGCCCCTCCTTGACCCCCGCCCGGCACCGCTGCCCTCCCCGGCGCCTCTCCTTATCCCGCCTGCCCCCTGGCCAGCACTGCACGAAATATGTTTTGAAGAGAGCTGCAGGGCTTATTCTCTTCCCGATGATGCTAAATTTAAGCTCTCAATCTTCTTATCTCCTGTGAAGGCAGCGCCATCTAATCTCCTGCGAAGGACCCGATGCATTTATCCGAGCAGAGCTGCTCCGGGCGCTGCTCGCCTGGTTCCGCTCGCCCTTCACGGACACAAACAGGAGGCTGTGGTTTGCTTCCGTCAGAGGGAAGGCATGCTGCAAGTCCCTGCTCCCAGGAGATTTGGGCCAAACACAAAGAAGAGGGAAAAAAAAAAAAAAAAAAGGAATGACCACGCTATTAAAATGTTTATTATCAGAAATATCCTGACTCCTGCTTCCTGCTAGTGCAGGGAAGCCAGCCCTGACCCACTCGTGGAAACTGCAGAACAAAGTGCAAAATCCTTTAGTGGGCAAGATTTAGGGTTTTTTTGAGGCAATCTTGGTTTTGTCTGTAAAATTCCTGCTCTGTTATCACCAAACTAACAGAAGTTGGTAAAGGGGGTGGGTGCACTGCTGAGAGGGGCAAGGAGAAGGATTGGAACCTGCCGAGCTCCAGCAGCCACCTCCTGCTCTGACCCCTCCAGACTCCACTGCTGTGAGTCCCTTGAGTCAGGACCCCTCCCAAATGAACCACAGCAGCTGTGGGATGGACGAGGTGAAATCCAGGTGCTACTCAGCCCATGGTTTGTTCCTCTCCACTTTCCTCCGAGGAATTCTCTGCTTTGGAGCTACCTCGGGCTGTTCCTCTGCTGTGCCATGGCTGCAGTGAGGGGTTGGGCTGGGCTGGGCGCTTTTCCCCTTGCCCAGCTCCCGGGGTTGTGAACACTCCAGATCTGTCTGATTTTGATGGCAAACCTGTCGGGGTGGAGCCCTGTCGAGGATGTTTTATTAGTGAGGATATCCCAGCAGCGCCGTGATGGTGTTGGAAGCTGCTAACTGGTGCTTGCTGGTATTCAGCACAGCTGGGGCATCCCAAAATGAGACTGTTCCACCGAGAAATGCCCAGGGAAGTGCCAGCTCCACCTGCTCGGTGCCTGGGCTCAGAATCCTTTACCAGTGGAGTTGCACTCTCAGGTTAACAGAGAGCACCCATGGCTGAGCGCTCCTGTTGCTCCAGTACGAGAGGAGAACCCAGCTCATCCCTCCTGCCAGGGAGCTGGGCCAGGTTCATTTTCCTGCTCCTTTCCATGGTGACAGGCAGTCCCCTCCCCGGGCAGCCCCGGAGGTGAATCCTGCTGGGACAGGAGCTCTGCTGGCAGCGCTGCAGGGCCATCAGCAGGACGAGAATCGCAGTGACTGAGGCAGGGTGCACCTTGTCCGGACAGGTAGATCAGGTGTGTGATGAGCCAGACAAAGGATTATTGTCTGTACCCAGCAGCTGAACGCTTTGGTGGCCCTGTGATTTCCCCCATAATCGAGCAGCAGGTTTGCCGAGCTGGGGCTTGCACAGATTTCCTAAAATAGTCGGTGAAAGGAGATCACAAAATCGAAAGGCGTGTTGCAAATGGCACGTAGGCTGTGTGACAGCTGCCGTGCCAGCAGCCGGGCCGGCTCCTGCTCTGGGGACCCTGGCTCCAGCTGGAGACACGTCCCCTGGCAGCCAGCACGGCTCCGGGACAGGCTGCTGCACGCTTGGACTAATCCAGAAGGTGGCAATGGCAATCCACAGACACTGCCTGGCTGGGAAAAGAGGATTTCCTGGCGGTGTGGCTCTGGTGTTGAAGGGATATTTTCAGAGGGGATGCACTGTGGCTGCTTCTCTGCACGTAGAGAAGCCTGGAGTGACAGCAAATGTTGCAGAAAATTCACCTTTCTTGGAATTGTGGCCACGTCCCAGGTATTTTGGGGTTGATTTGTAACGTATGGTGTCCTCATAAATGTTAGTGCATTTAATTCCTTCCTTCTCTCTTTCCCTGCTCCCTTCTTCCCACTAGTTTTGCCTATTCCATGCAGGTCTGGGGTGTCCCCAGCGAGCTCTGTGACATTCCCAAACTGCCACCACTTCACCAGCCAGGTCCCCCTCACATTCCCTGTGCACTGAGACCCGAGCTATGGAGGCTGCCTGCCAGGCTCCCTGTCTGCACACACCGAGACATTTTGGGGGTGAAAGAACACAAGGTTCCCTCTGGCAGCCCCTTCCCGGTGCACCCAGCCGCCTCTGGGCTTATTTCGTGCGAGGAGCTGAAACAAAAGCGCATGGAGCCAAGTGTGAGAGCGGGGAGAAGCTGCACGCTGGGTCCCCAGCAGAGGGTGGTGTCCCCCTCTGCCCTGCCCGCCTGGCATTCCCTGCCCGCCTGGCATTCCCTGGGTGCCTGGCATTCCCTGGCTGGCATTCCCAGCAGTGCCAAGAGGCAGGGGAGGGGAGCAGCAGCTCCAGCACAAAATCTGACTTCTTTAATTTATTCAAGCTCCCTTTTTATAGCTTTAGGTCCACCTTGAAAACAGCATCTGTGTCCTCTCCACGCCCCCCCATCCTCTTGCAGGACAGTTTGTACAATGTGGAGCTCCCAGCTCACCAGCGTGTGCTGGATTCGAGTTCTTCCTGAGCCTGGCTGCACAGGTTGTGGTTGTTTTTATTTTTCCTGGTCTCAGAAATACCTCTGCCATCAGCCCTTTGGGCTGCTGCAGAGGTAGGCGAGGAGCGTACTTGCTCCAACACCTCCCACGCAGAGCCTGGCTCTGCAGCTGCAGGGATTGTTCCCAAGTGTCCAGGGGCCAAGAACGCTTTTTATTACTCAGTAAAAAAGCCAGGCTGTGCCTCGCAGCTTTAATTATGCACATATAATAAACTCCTCTGTTGTCATCTACCTACAGACCTGACCTCACACGGCAGGCTGGTACTGAGTCAAAATTATCCCTGGCACGACTCCACTGCCTTCAGTAGCCTCGTGATTCCTGCCCATGGGTGCTGTTGGAGGGCAGAAACGCTTCGTGAAGAACTAAAAGATCAAGAAAATCATTCTGAGAAAGCAGCTCCTCAGGGTATGGGGAGTGTGGGCTGAAATCTGAATGCCCCCAGGGCAGGGCGCAGCTCTGATGGTGAGACTGGAGCGTGTGGATGCTGCTCGCCCTTGGATCGCTCTGTTCGAACCCTGCCCAGGGGCACAGCCGGGCTGAGCTGCACCTCGGGATGAAAGAATTTCTCCTTTAAAAAACACAAACAACCAAACTTTCCTCGGAATATGAAACCATTGTTTTCTGTTCTTCGGAGAGATCCTCCTTCCTAGATTGAAAATGAAGGATCATGGCGCTAGAGTTGCTCTTTCTCCTTTATCTCCGCTTGGCTCCATTTGGAAGAGATTAGTGTTGCATTTGTTTGACATCCAGGTTAATAGCTTCCCTTCGTCCCAGTCCCGGCTTCCGGTTTTGGCTATCTGGAAAGCCGGGCTGGAAATTAATCGGCAAACTCTGGGGAGAGGATCTCGGAAGAAAACTCAGAACAGATTTGAAAAGAGGCTGTTCTAAGCCGCGCTGATTTGGAAGGAAGCCACCGGTGAAAATTAGAGATTTTTCAAGAGTTTGCTGCCAAGGAGTTAATGCCTGAGAGTCGAGGTTTTTAATAAATACACTGGTAATTAATTATAGGAGTTGTCCTCCCGTTTGAAAGACAAGGAACACGATCGCTTGTTTGGGTTAAACATCTCCCGTGCAGTATTTGCAACCCAAACACGGGGTGATGACGAGTGGGAGCGAGCGCTCAGACAAAGCGGGGTCTGTGTGTGTGTGCGCGGCTCCGGGAGCGCTCCTGCCACTGCCCGCAGGGCTGGGGGCACCTGGGGGAGCCCTGGCCACGGGGAACCCCTCAAAATACGGTGGCGGCTCTGCGAGAGGGGACAGCGAAGCAGCACTGGGGCTCTGGGTGGCTTTCCCGGAACAGGGAGAGGAGCGGCAGCGTTGGGAGGGAGCGAGGGATACGACAAGGGAAGGGGAAGAAGGGCAAAAAAAAAAAAAAAAAAAAAAGAAAAAAAAAAAAAAAAAGAAAACCAGGAAAAATAAAAAAGAGGAGGGGGAAAAGGAAAAAATATTAGGGGAAAATAAACGGGCTACGAGCCAAAGCGTCGCGAAGCGCCCCCCACCCCCGCTGGCAGCCCGGGCTCCCGCAGACAAAGGGGCGGCGGGGCGGAGCGGGGGCGGGCCGGGGGCTGCTCCGCTGCCCGGGGCGGGCAGAAAACTCGCACCCACGGCGGCTCCCCGGCTCGGCAGCGCAGGTGGGGTCCCCTCAGCACAGCAAGTTTCCACAGGACACCGAGAGGGAGTTGCGCGGGGTGGGGGCGGCCCCGCCGTGCCCGCCTGTCCGTCCGTCTGTCCGTCCATCCGCCGCTTTGTTCCCGGAGGATGCGGCGCGCCTAACCCCGGCCGAGGCGGTGGGGCCGCAGCGGGGGCAGGGGCAGCCCTCCGCCGGAAAACTCCGCGCCGCCCTCCTTCCTTCTCCTCCTCCTCTTCCTCCTCCTCCTCCTCCTCCCGGCCGGAGCCCCGGCGCGGAGCGATGCTCTCGGGGCCGGCGGGCGGCGATGGAGCGGGGCGGTAGCGCGGAGCCGCCCAGCACAGCGGCCCCTCGGGCAGCTGCCCGCCGCCCCTGAGAGCCGGCAGGAGGAGGAGGAGGAGGAAGAGGAAGGCCGGGGAGGAGAGAGAGAGAGAGAGAGAGAGAGAGAGAAAGAACACAGACCGCGGCCATGGAGGAGTGGCGGCAGTGCGGCCGCTGGCTCATCGACTGCAAAGTTTTGCCCCCGAACCACCGGGTGGTCTGGCCCTCGGCCGTGGTGTTCGACCTGGCACAGGCGCTGCGGGACGGGGTGCTGCTGTGCCAGCTGCTCCACAACCTCTCCCCCGGCTCCATCGACCTCAAGGACATCAACTTCAGGCCGCAGATGTCCCAGGTAGGAGGGGAGCGATGGGTGCAGGGGTGGCTGCGTGGGGAACCCCCAGGCGCACCTGGATCCCTGGATGCGGCCGCTGCTGCCGCACAGCTTGGTGGGATGGGATGGACTGGGATAGACTGGGATGGAATGGGATGGAGAGAGTCTGTTTCACCCTCCCAGATACCCGGCAGCCCCTCCCAGGCTTTATCCCCCCTGGTTTCTCGCCGGTCCAGCGCCGGGGGAACCGCGGCCGCACGGGAAAGGCTCCGGGACGGGGAGAGAACACCCCGGGAAGGAGGGGAAACATCCCCCTGGTGTTTACAGTCATAGCGAAACAAAAGCAAATAACAGGGCTAAGAGGAGGAGATGGGATTATTCGGGGTTTTGATGGAGGCGCTGGTTTGTCTGAGATGTGCGGGAGGAGCGGGCGCTGGGGCGAAACTTTGGCTGGGAAGACTCAAAGCAAAATAAATGAATAAATTTATGAAAACACACGAAGCTCTGGTGCTCTGCGAGGCTGCCCCAAGCCCGGCCGGGCAGGGAGCGAGGCCAGTGCAGTGCCCGAGCCCCGGTCCTGCATCCCCACATCTGCTCCGGGGCGAGAAGTGATGGGGGGCTCAGGTCAGGGACCCCAATTGCACCCCCTTGCCCTGTCCTCTGCCTATCTGGGTATTTTAAAAGGGCTCCATCCTTGGAAGTGTTTCTAGTTCCTGGCTGGTTTGGTAGAAGGAGGCTTAAACAAACGGGAAAAAAAAATCAAGAAGTAAAATCAGCTCAGGTTGTTTTGGGTCTAAATGCTCCGCTGGTGTTTTTGCAAGCTGAGCTGTAGGTATTTGCATGGGAATCGGGAAGTGAAATCATTTAGAAACAAACGAAATGGGGGTTTGTGCCCTGCCCGCCGGCAGCCCTCGTGTTGAAGAGTTAATTTCAGAGTGTTGGCTTTTATTTTTGAACAACAGGTTCTAGTGGTGAAATTGAAGGGAAACTTTCTGTGTTGAACTTCGCTGAAGCCTTCTAGGATAAATAACCCCCAGTGCCCACATGAGCTCTGCTCCTGTGCTGAGAGAGCAAATCCCTCTCCCTTTTTCCACTGGAATTTCCTTCCAGGACAATGTTTTTTTTCCAGGACAATATTTTTTTTCCAGCTGTTTGTCCCCTTCACCCTGCAAGACACAACCACGTGTGCCGGGGAGGCTGCAGTGGTTGAGGACAGCCAGGAGCTCCCAGATTTGGAGCCTCTCTTTGGGGAGCAAAGGGCGTTTTGCTGGGAGGATGTCCTTGATCCTGGAAGCACCAGGATGGGAATCCCCAGCCCTGTGGTGAAACCAGCTCGAGTAAATAACAACACGTCCCGATGCCTCTTCCCAGGGTGGAACAATGCTGTGAGATTTCCTCTTGGCTTTCCAGGCTATGAACTGATCAAACTGTTTTCCTCTCAGGCTGATGTTTCCAAATATAAACTGCCGTGCAGGAGCTGTGGATGTGGAGGGCTGGAGCTTTCCTAGAACGTGCTGAGAATGGCACACTGTGTTTGCTTTTTTTTTTTTTTTTTTTTTTTAAGGAAAAATTGTAATCCTACAAAGCTAATTCCGGTGTGATAGTTGCCCTGTGGGGAGCTCAGAATGGGTTTAGAGATGTGGCACTTGGGGACGTGGTTTAGTGGCAGATTTTGGCAGTGCTGGGTTATTGGTTGGATTCGACCTTAGAGGCTTTTCCAACCTAAACTCTGTTTCTGTGTGATCTGGGATCCAGGGAGGATCCCGGGGTGGTTTGGAGAGGAGGCTCTGGCTGCCCTTGCCCAGCCAGGTGTTTGCTGGTTGGAGGGAGAATTTACAGCCCTGCTGTCTTTAATCAAGTTGCTTTCTGCTTGTCCCACCTGGCTGCTTCCACAGCTGTAGAGGATGTATGAGGGGACTGACTGGGATGGGTTTGGTGGCCCTGTGTCTGAAAATCAGGTCATTAGAGGGGAGCAGCACAGAGCTGAGCCCACAGGACCTGAAGAGCATCACCTGGTATGGGAGTGGATGCTCAGGTGAGGCTCAGCTGGTGCCTCAGCCAGGATGGGACCCAAACCACTCTGGAGTAAGACTTTTTATACTTCATATATTTGGTGCTCCTTTGGTAATTCCTGAGTTTGGGAATTTGGCTTCTTCCCAGGGTGGTTAAAAGCACCTTCTGCTGCACAGGAGCCCGGGGAGGAAGGGGCTGAGCCCAACCACAGAGGGGACAAAAACCTTTGGGATGTTCCAGCCCTGCTGTGGCTCTGGGGGAGCAGCTCAGTTCTCTACACCAAATTTCAGAGGAGTAATGTAGGAATCCATCTCTGTCACCCAGCTGTGATGTGCTCAGACACGGGGTAGGGATGTGTGAGGCAGAACTTCAGAGGTGGTTTTTGATGATAAATGCACATTTCGCCTGGCTGGCTGGACTGGCTAACCAGCTGTCTGCCTCACTAGAGAGCTCGTTTTGTTATTAATCAGGTAAAATGCCAGGGGACAAGACACTCGTGCTAGACTTGAAACACCCAGTAATACTCAGAATATTCTGTCACCCACCTTTCCCGCTGAATTAAGTGAGGCTGTGCAGGTGTGGAATGAAAAACAGATTTTTGCCTGAGGTGAGCAGCGTTTCAAAGGCCAGAGGTGAAATCACTTCTCTGCAGAGAAACACTTTAAGATCCAGGCATTTGTGTGTTACTTTTTTCATCTCTTTCCACGCTGATTTGTTTTTCCTTGATGTGTGCTGCGAGGCGAGGCTGGAGCGTTGGCAGAACAGGGAGGATGCAGGGACTGGTGCTCCAGCTGTGGAGGGATGGACTTGGTGTCCCTGTCCCCCTAAAAGCTCCCCAGCCTCATAAAACCTCCCTGTGCTTGTTCAGCAGAGAGCCCAGACTCACCACAGCAGTGCTTTAATACGTGATGCTTAATTAAATAAATGAGGCAAATCACCCTGATAGGTTTCAGTCTGAATTTTGCTTTATTTTCATGTTCAGCTCCAGAGACCCAAATCTGGTGTTTGGTGGGAGGATGGGATGACCCAAAGAACTTCCAGAGTGGCCAACAAAATAAACAGGAAAAACAATCTTGAATCCCAGCTCTCTTCTGAGAGTTGCTGGACGTGAGGGCAGTTTGGATGAACCTGGAGTAAAACTTCATTTCTGCTCCTTGCTTTTGCTGCTGAGGCTGTTTCTGGAGAGCTGGGAAGTGCCACGAGGGTGATGGCTCTCGGTGCTTATTGATCATTGTGTCTGTTACTGTGATTGCATTTCTGGGGGTGTCATTCAGGGTGATTTTTCCAGCCAGCTGGGAGAGTGTGATGCAAAGGATATTTGAATTTGCAACTTGGAACCCTCTGGTTTGCATTCCCTGCCCCAGAGCCATCCCCAGAACCCCACTCCTCTCCCCATTCCCATTCCTAATTCCAGTCCTCTGGCACTGTGTGCTACAGCTGCTCTTGGGAGTGAGATGGGGATCTTCAAGCTTTGCATTTTCATCAATAATTAGATTTGAATATTAATTTTGTTAAATCTCTGGTCAAATACAAATTAAATGACTCTCCCCTCGTGTTTCAGCATAAAAAAATACGTGCAGTGAAACACCTGCATGCTTGGGTGAGGTCGATATTTGGTGCTGCGAGTTTTGTGAGGTTTTTCTTTTTATTTGGTATTTGTCTTAGATAAAATTAATCCTTCCTGACAGGGCTTTGGATTTGTTTTGGAGGTTGGTCGGGAAACCTGCTGCAAGCTGCTCCCTCTCAGGCTGCCTCAGTTGTGCCAGACACCTTTGCAAAGTGTGGGAGTTGATCAGGAATTATCCAGGAAAACTGGGGGGGGATCTGGGAGTTTCTTGCAGAGTTCCAGATCACTGTTCAGTCCCCTGAGCTGAGCTCAGCCTTCTGGGGATGCTGTGGAGGGGATTTCTGCTCCCAATCTCTGCAGCTGGAGGAAAATGGGTTAATTCTAGGGAGAACAGCTGAGAAAGAACAATAACCCCCCAAATCCTGCCCCACTGCCCTGTCCTGGCTGGCTGAGCAATCTCTGTGTATTGAAAGGTGGAAAATTGGTGCCTACACAAAGCTGGTGTGATGTGATTGAACATCAATCCTCCCACAGACATCACACTGCACTCACCCCTCCTCAAAGGCTGCTCTGGACACTGCTAAATATCTTTATTTTCCCTGCTCCAGAACCTCCTGGGTTCTGGAAATGAAGCAGTGTAGGGTGAACGTGCTGCATGCACAGACTTGAAGTTAGCAGTAATGGCCAGCTCATTAAGGATTCTTGTTTTGGAGCACATTGACGTTTCTCCAGAGGGAATCCAGCCCTCCCTGCAGCGCCTGGAGGTTTGATTGGGGCCCTGGAGGCTGATGAGAGGCACAAAACATAATTGGAGCAATGGCTGGGCTGCCCAGTGCTCTGCTTTGCTCTGATGAAGGAACCACGCAGACAACTGAGCTGAGTGCCAGGATTGATGGCTGCAACGCCCCACACCTGACTGAGCTGTCACATGCCTCCTGGCCTGCTCTTCTTTCTTCATTTGCCATCAAAATCCCATTTATTGGTGATGTAGGTGCTGGTTTGCAGTGGAGCAGGTGCTTGGAGCCTCTCCCCCAGGTCCAGGGGAGATGGAGGCACGCTGGAGTGTTTGGTGCAGGTAATTATTCACGAGGCTTTGGGCTTTTTAACGTGCCACTTGAAGGCTTTATAGCTACAATGCTTGTAATTACTTCCATATGTCATGATAGTAGTTAAATAAATTCAGTTTTATCAGAGCTGGCTGGCTGGGTGGGTTCTTTGAGCAAAATCTGTGTAGCCACTCTGATTTACCCTGCTCAGGTCCTCTGGCTTTTTATTTACTCTCTGCTTTTTGAAAGTGAGTTCTGTTCCAAAAAAAAAAAAAGGGGGCTGTGAAAAACAGCCTCGTTACATCTCCCTGTTTACTGTGTCTCACTGACTTCCCGTTTGGATGTGCTGAGCCTCAGAGAGGGAAAAAAGGTGCTCTGTGTGTCCAGCCAGGCTC